AGCACTGGGCAAGTAGGTTGCAAGGGACCTCTTTCAAGTGCTGAAGAGCAAGGATGTCTCCTTGAGGACTAAGTTGCGCCTGACACAAGGGAACAAAGGAGCATGGAAGTTCTGTGCCAAGACCCCTTTCAGACCTCACCTTTTATGTTTATATCCTCTTTTTCTGCTGAAGATAGCCCCTTTTCCTGCAGTTTGTGAGTTGTTTAAAGAATTATCAGACCTAAAAAAACAGGAGAAGCCAGCACCTACTGACTTATCGCTAGGTGAATGGAGATGGGAGAGAAAAGGCTGCTTGGAGCAGCTGGGGTCTGGACTTACTACAGAAGGGAAGCTAAGATTTCCCTGGACTGGTTTGACACCAGATTTGCCTGGACTGGTTTGACACCGGAGGGGAGCACAGGGAGTGCTGCTGGGGTACTGGTCATGTTGTTTCTTGATCTGAGTATGTTCAGTTTGTGAAAATTCACTTAGCAATGTGCTTATAATATATGCATTTTCTGTACACATTATTATTATTATTATTAATTTTATTGTGATTTGGGTGAAAGTTTACAGAGCAAATTCATCTTCCATACAGTAGTTCACATACACTGTCTCATGACATTGACTGCAATCTCCCACAGTGCAACAGGTCACTTCCCACTTCCTCCCCATAGCCACCTCTTTCCTGTGTCCTTCCCTCCCATGCACTCCTGCCCCACAAGCTGTCTCCCTGTGCATACACAGCCCTTTTATTCTCCCATGATTGATCTCTCCAAGCAGAGTATATACCTAATGTAAATGTTCAGCTCATATGCCTGTCTTTTGTTTGGCTGGAAGCCATAGGAGTGGGTTCAATTCCAGATCTGAAGAATAGGTAGCTAGGGACCACCATCTCAGGGGTTTCACCAGGCTCTATAAGACCAGAAAACCTGGTTCCCCGCCCCCCCCTTTTATGATTTTGAATTTGGGTCCACGTTGTTCTCTCACTCTATCCAGGATCTCCTACACAGATCCTCCTCCAAGTGGTTGACAGTGGTAGCCGGGCACCATCTACTTTTTCTGGTCTCATAATCATATAAGCTGAAGATCGCATGGTGTAACAGTCCCTTGGACTAATTATTTCCATGTCTTTGGTTTTCTTCATTCTTCTTTGCTCTGGATGAGGAGAGACCCATCATTGCATCTAGATGGCCGCTTGCAAGCTTTTAAGATC